TTACATTGATTCAAGGTCAAAACCTGGGAATGTATGTACTTGAGTGTATGGTTCTGGAACATGGGTTCATTATAGTAGATCACTGTCTCTCAAAAGGTGCCTGAACCTCCCCACAGAGCTTTTCAATCCTGATCCCCTCCCATAGGAGACAGTGTTCTCCAATCCTGCCCCCGGAGCATCTTAACCGTTTGCTTCCAAAGTGGCCAGGTATAAAAAGACTTGGCTCCTGGTGTAGCTCAGGCTGTATCACAAAATCAGCTGTGAGATAATAACAATGTGAAATGGCTAACTAGTTTCATTTAATTTAACAGTTTAAATTACATCTGTGAAAAAGCCAGCTGGGTTGACCTTGGGCAAATCACTGCAACAAAACCTGGGTTTGAATTTCAGCCTTGACATTTACAAGTGGTGCAACACTAATTCAATTAACGAACCTCTCTGAGCCCCAGTTTCCCAAACTGTAAATGATAAATAATAGTAATGTCAAACGAGACCATGGGTATATAGTGTTAGACAAAATCAGTATAAACATACAGATTTAGATGATATGTGGATATAGATGTATGTGTGGGTGGGTACTCTGCCCCACTCTGTGCCCTCTGTTCTCATCCTCAGGAATGCCCAGTTCTCAAGCCGAGGGTGTTTGGCAATTTGGTGTAATGACGCTCACTGAGCCCCAAATCCTGGTTTAAATCAAGCTTGTGTTCAATTATCAGACTCTTGTAGACAAATGTTTTAGATTAACCTATGTACCGAATTCTGAAATATCTTTGGTAAAAGGCAAGGAAATTTATATTTACAGATCATCTAAAAATTCCCTTAACTTCTGGTCTCAAACTCTTGCCCCCCCCCCACAATCTTCTCCCCCTGTTGCCCACGAGCCAAGCGCGGGTCTCCTAGCTCCTGGTCTCCACCCCGCGGCCCACTCAGGGCTAACCAGCAGTGAAATCGCTGCCCAGTGGACAGAGGAACTGGGCCTCGGTCGCGCTCGGAGTGGATTACGGTCCCCCCAACATCCCAACACCACTGGCTTTGGCGGAGGCAGCAGCAAGGTTGGCATGGCCCCTGAGCCAAACGTGGCTCAGCCGAGGGGGAAGGCTTTGTGCCCTGCTTCCCAAGAGGACATTCCAGGAAGGAGTCAGATGATCTGAGTTATGGAAACCAAATGGCCCTCCTTTGTTTAGAGAGAGAGAGAGAGAAAGAAAAAAAAAAAGTCACTCATTTTTGTGGTAAAGCGAAAACAGGCTCCAAACCAAACACTCCCTCTCAGAGCAGAAAATGCCAGCTCCCCAGAGCGGGCCCACAGCCCCAGAGGCTGATAAACCGATGGAAGGCGGAGTCCGGCCTGAGTTACAGCCCCCGCAAAGTGTCCTCAGTCCTCCCAGGGAGGTTTGCCTCTGCTTTGCTCCAGAATTATTTGGTCTCTCGGGCAGGAGAGGAAACTGAAGGCAAGACAAAGAGAAATGTCTAAGTGACCTAGGCCATTCTTGTCCTCTCACTCTTTTCCAGTTGGGATGGAGGGCGGGGCAAGAGCTTTGCAGAGAAGGCCCTGGAAGGTGCGTGGGCACTAACAGCCCCCTGGGCACACCGAACCCTGAGGCTCCCTTGTGTCACTCCAGTGCACCATCTCTGACTTGGATGCCCACCTCCACGTGACCAGCACTTCCCACAGAATGCAGCCAAGAGTCACGAGGCCTCCTGTGGCCACTCTGTGGCTGCCCCGTGGCTCCTTGGGCTGGCTCCGTGGGCGGGCATCTGCACTCCCAGGTATTGCTAGTGCATGTGCTGCAGGATAAGCCGTGGCCAAGAAAAGAATATAGTTTCTAGTCAGCCATGCCTATCCCAAGTTCGGTTTATTCTCTAACACAAGCCTTTCCTGGAATGGAGAGGCTCTTGGCAAGGGAGGAAAAATGGAGAATCGAGTTCTAGTCCTGGCTTTGCCTCTCACTTGCTGTGCAACCATGGGTCATTGTCACCTCTCTGAGCCTCCATTCGCATCGGAAAGTGAGCCCAATGCCCTTGCCTTGCTTCGGTTCGCAAGGTTGTTGTAGAAGGAGGTAAAGCATGGCCACAGCCAGACTGCCTGGGGGTGGATCCAGGCTCCCCTGTGTAACACGGGGCAAGTTTCTTCACCTCTCTATGTCGTGCTTCACCTTTCAAATGAAGGGAATAATATCCTTCCCTGGTAGCACTTCTAGCAGGTTAAATTCGATGATGTGGCTTATGCAAGGTGCGTGGAGAGTGCCGACCCACAGCATGGCCTGCATTAGTCTTGATGGCATGATCATCGCCAGAGGCTGGGAAGTATCTTGAAAACAAAAATGCTCAGTTCGGGCATTGTGTGATCTGCCAACGTCATCATAAACTTCCGAGTTTCATTCAACACACCTCCACTGTTCCAGCAATGTTCCATGATCTGCGAAGATTAATTCTACATATGAGGAGGGACCTCCAATACTTGTTGTTTTTAGGAAAAATCCCCAAAGCCCCACCATCGCCTATAAGGCCTCGGTCATCTGGTCCTGCTGCCTTTTCTAGCCTCATTTTGAGCCACTGTCTCACTCAAATTCACCAGCCTTGTTGGCCTTCCTTTAGCTCTCAAAGGCTATGGGCTCCTTCCTGCCCCAGGATCTTTGCAGGGCCTCCTGTCCCACTCCGTGTCCTCTTTGCCTAACCACAGGTCTCAGCTTATATCGCCTTTCCTCAGGGAAGCATTTCCTGAACTCCCTTCTCTTTCTTTCTTTGTGCTCACCACAATTATAGTTAAATAGTAACTTGTGTCATCTCCAGCATGTCAGCTCCTTGGGCAAGGTGCTTTCCTCTGTTTTGTTCATTGCAAGGCCTAGCACAATGCCTGACACGTGGAAGATATTCGAAAGAATATATTTTTTAATACAAATGAAAGTGCTTAATAACTGTCTCCCCTGCAGCTCCTACAAAACCCATGAAATCAGAGACCATGTTTCTGTTCTCAAAGCCTGTGTCTCCAGTTCATAGAAGGCCTTTAATAAATACCTGTTGAATGAATGAATGATCAGTGAATGACTTGGAATAGCCCCCCTAACTTTTCACCATTTGAAGATCTCCCTAGACATCAGAGAAGACTGTAATGGACCATTCTCTTCCTCCTCCTTCCATGGAGACACCGTGCTTGGCACTCAGACATGTCCTCTAACCCTCACCCCAGGTGGCTCTGCTCCTTCAATCCAGGCAGAGGGCACCAGCCTTCCTAGTCCGCACTCAAGCAAGTGTTTAGTGTCAGCCACAGTCCAATGTCATTAGAGACATCCGTTTTGTAACAAACGCTGATAGGAGAATACCGTCCTTCAATTATACGTGTATTCCTTTCTTCTAGGGCAGGCATTTGTATTCACAGCTTGGTTAAAGGGACTCATATTATTCATCGTCATATCCCCGCAGGTCCTACCACAATGTTTGGTACAGAGCACGCACCCTTAAATGTTGCATCATGAAGGCATGAATACTATATACTGACTGCAGTTAGTAACTTCTCAGCCCCAGAACCTGGGACACAATGAAGTTTTTAAGGAGCTTGAGATGAAAGCTTTCTTTTTTTCACCCACAGAATAAGAGCAAGAACTCTCCACCTCCAGACTCCCCCCATTCCCATCCATCTTTCACAGCTCTATCTGCTGCAACTCCCAAAATCATCCCTTCAAGTTTTTTTTTTTTTCCAAAAACCTCCGAAGTTCTTTTCATAGCTAATAGGCCTGTGTCCAAACTCCTACGTTCTCACGCAAAGAATTGAGACCAAATTTCTTCCTATACTGATCTTTTCAAATCCTACTTACCTCCAACCCTAGAATATATCTTTTGTTTGCTCTGCCTCTGCTCATGCCATTCCTCTCGCCAGGAATGCCTCTTCCCAATCTCTCTGCCAAAGCACATCTCAAGTGTTGTGTTCCCTGTCACCTCACCACATCACCCACCTAAAGAGAGCTCTCTGTCCTCTGAAGCTAAGTAATATTTTGGCTTAGCTACTTCTTGTATGTGTCAGAAAGCTTTTCCTTCTTTAAAAAATTGAGAAATAATTGACAAAAAGCATTATATTAGTTTCAGATGTACAACCTAGTGATTCAATATTTGTAAAGAAGGTGAAATGATCACCACGATAAATCTAGTTAACATCCATCACCATACATCATTACAAATTCTTTTCTTGTGAAGAGAACTTGTAAGATTTACTCTCTTAGCAACTTCCAAACATGCAATACAGTATTATGACCTAGAGTCACCACACCGTACATGACATCCTCATGACTTATTTGATAACTGGAAGTCTGTACCTTTTGACCATCTTCACCCATTTCACCCATCCCCCACCCCTGGCAACCACCAATCTGTTCTCTGTTCTCTATGAGTTCATTTTTTTTTTCTTTTTTAGATCCCACATATAAGTGAGATCATACGATATTTATCTTTCTCTGACTTATTTCACTTAGCACAGTGTCCTCCAGGTCCATCCATGTTGTCACAAATGGCAAGACTTACTAACTTATGACTGAATAACCTTTGTTGTATGAATACATGTATATACACATGCCACATTTTCTTTATCCACTCATCTGCTTAGGTTGCTCACTGCACGTCTTGGCTATTATAAATAATGCTGTGTCAACAAACTTTCTCCATGAATGTGGCTTCTCTCTCAAACTAGACTCAGACCCGAAGTTCCCTGGGGACCAGTTTTATATCTTCTGGATTCCCCTCAGTTATGCCTAGTCAATGGTAAGAGCTCAGTCTCTATTTGTTCACTGATTGACTCAATTGGTTGTATGAGGTCAGGGACTAGTAGCCTAGCAAGAGAACCTTAAAGTTCATTCACTCGAGCGGATTTTATGGCTCAAGACCAGTGTCTAGTTCAGAGTTACTGCTTTTCTCATGTCTCCCAGGATTTGGTGGATGGTCTCTAGGAGTCACTGAACATGAAATTGTAAAGTTGCTTCACTCTTCTTAATCCAGTGACTTCCTTTTTACAGATGAGAAGCCCTTCACTGTGGAAGACACTTACTTGCTGTGTCCAGCACCTATCTTAAAAGAAGTTGGCATGTAAGTTTCCACCAGCAACTGAACCTCACAGCCAGGGAGGAGAGAGGAGTAGAAGGGACAAAGGGAGAAGGAAGAGTCTCTCTTCGTTGTTGTCACGCAGCCTTGTCTAGACCTCGCCAGGTAGCAATGATGGTGCCAGTGCTTCCGGTGAGCAAGGCACCAGGACAGATGTCTTATAAAGAGTACCTCCCTTTATCCTCCCAAGCTCCCAAAGAACCAGATGCTCACATCATCCCAGTTTTACAGATGTGGAATCTATGGCTGAGAGAATTTAAATAGCTTGCCCACGGTCACACTGCAGTAGTGGAAGGGTCTAGTGTCCAACAAAGTTATGTCTCACTTAATCATACCTACCTTTCTAGAGCTCACACTTCCCAAAACCCTCCCAACCCACATTATCTCACCCTGTCATCATAATTGCTCTGCTGGATGATTATCTCCTCCTTAGACATAAGGAAGCACAGAAAGGAAGCTCAGAGGGGTTAAGAAGAGTGGGTTCAAGACCCCAGGTTCAGACTTCTGGGCCAAGCTCAATGCTCCTTCCTCTGTGCCCCTGCAGGGCATCAGATATCTGTTGGGTGTTCATCAGAGAACACAAACTCGCTTCTCTGTAAACATGATTGGAACAGGCTGAAGAGAGAATGGTGGCTTTGAGGAAAAAATATTAAACATGTTCATCTAACTTCTGCTTTCAATCACTTGTTCTAATTGTAAAGCCTCCAAGTCTGGTTGCCTAACACTGACCTTCAAGTCCACTGGTTCCACAAACTAACCCTGTGTCCATACTGCCAAAGACAAGCAAAACAGAAGCTCAGGTTTCAGTGAGTCTCACAGAGATAGAAGGAGGGTAGAAGGTCAGTCATCCACTGCTGTACCTCCGTGAGCTTGTCAGGGTGGTAGCAAACCCCCTCATCAGAATCAGTCACAGAGGGCCCGGTAACCACAACAGAACATTCAGTTTACAGTTTGACAAGTGTACGCCCACAGACGCAAGCCACGTTTTGGGAAAACTTCTTCCTACGACAAGGTGACCGGTAAATTAAATGGTAGCAGGCCTTGCCGGTTCAATGCAACTCGCTACCACGTAAGACGGGCTGAACGCAATACCTTGACACACCAGCCAAGGGTATCCCGACATCTCTCTAGAATGTTAGAGCATACGGGTGGGCCCTAGAAGCCATCCTCCACATTTTACAAAAGAGACCCGCTCAGGCCCCCAGGGGAAGAGACCACAGTCCCCGGGCAGTTAGGAGCAGAGCCTGCAGGGGACTTAAGCGTCCGGCTCATGGCCCCTTGCTCCTCGCGCACCATGCTGAGTGTCTCTGGCTCCCTTGTCATTGCAGGAAAGCCGCACTTCAGGTCAGCATGAACGATGGCCTCTCTTTCATCTCCAGTTCTGTCATCATCACCACCACACGCTGTGTAAGTCATCGCCTTCCCTTTCCTGAAGGCTCTATTTGTCATTCTCGTTGCCTGGAAGTTTCCGGTTCTGCATTCTGTTCACTGAGCTTTGATCCCAGCCCCGCAGGGCCAGCTGTAGGCTGGATCGGGGGCATGTGGGACCCGCAGAGGGTATCGGGAAGGCCTGTGTTGGGTTTCTCCAACTGGTCCACTTCTGTGACCGAGAGTGAGACCTGGACGCACCGGTGTGTCCAGATGGTAAGACAGGGCCAGGGTCTGTGCAGTAGTGAGGGGGGACATCCGGACGGACTGGGTCTAGGAGGAAAAGTGCAGAAAGAAATTGGACGGCACACCCAGAAAGCACATCTTAGGGAGCTTTTCCCTAAACAGAAGCAGGGCAATAGGGCAGTAACTAAAAGGCAATATGGAATATAAGGAGAGTCTCATTTAGAATGGGAGAAATTGCACCTTGTTTATATGATTGTGGAAATAATCCAGGAGAAAAGGGAAAATTGGTGAAGCAGCGTGGAGGCGGGGGGTGCGATGCCACAGGGATTGTAAGGCAGGAGTGGATTGTATTCCATCAGCTCCTCAGACACCCCCTCTCTGGGTCCTTAATAGCAGGTGGTTTCTATTTCTGGTTACACATAAAATCACCTGGATGACTTTTTAAAAAATTACGGTGCCCAGTCCTCTTGCCGGGCCAACTGAAGCAAAGCCGGGGAGTGGTGGTTCCGAGGCCTCCTGGGGAGGTTCTCAGGTGGCAGGCCTTCGGCCAGTGTAGCTACTCCCTCATGCTGGCAGGATCTCAGAGCTCAGCCTATCAGAGGGCTGCCAGGGCTTAGTGGCTCTTCTGCAGATCTCAGTCCCTAACACGAGCAGTTCCAAATTAACCTTTGTCTGAATAGTCAGGAGTTCTAACCAGATGCATTTTTTTCCATTAGATCATTCTAAAGGCTAATGTGTTTGGCCTAATGGTCAGCTTGGGTGGATACTATGGTCACGTCCTGCCTGGGCTTTGGAGGACATGTCATTAGAACCCCTCGGTAATGGGGGTTTGTCTCCCTAACACTGTCTCAGCTGGACAAGAGATAGCAGGCATGCCCTGAAGTCAGACAAGATCAAAATGGGGGGTGGGAGGGATGGGGTGGCTGGGTGATGGGCACTGGGGAGGGTATGTGCTATGGTGAGCGCTGTGAATTGTGTAAGACTGTTGAATCACGGACCTGTACCTCTGAAACAAATAATACATTATATGTTTAAAAAAAAGAAGAAGAAGAAGATAGCAGGAAGGGAAGAATGAAGGGGGGAATCGGAGGAGGAGATGAACCATGAGAGACTGTGGACTCTGAGAAACAAACTGAGGGTT